GGTTTACATTTTGCATTTTGCACACATCCCTTTGCTGAGTGGGATAAAAGGCTTCATTTCTTGGGTAGACCTGAGGCCTCTTTGTCCATTCTATGCCTGCAGGTGTGATATCCATGCACCTACTCTGTGTTCACAGGTGTGGTTTGTTTTGCTGACAAAAAATGGCAGTGGTTTTTTTTTTTTTTTTGGTTTTTTTATGTACAGCCATTATTATATATCTGGTATAAATTTCACTTGGTGTATTCACTTTTTTTTTTTTTTTTTTTTTTGATATATTGTTGATGCTGAAAATATGTAGGTACTAGAGGTAAAACCTAAGGAGAAGTCGCTAGGAGTCGGTTCCGACTCCACGGCACATAAGAACAACAACAACAGAAGTAAAACAAGGCTTGAAATTTACAGCAGCAGACCTGTGAAAAATTCTTCCAGGTACCAAAAGACAAAATTGCAAAAGGAAGAATCACTTCTCATTGATGTAATTTCTCACATAACAAGAATATGCCTAATAATGGAGTATAAACAATTTTTATAACTACAAATGCACTGAACATTTTTTTCTTTGTGAAGATAATCACCTAAAATAAGAATTATCAGAATTCTTGTTTTTATAGCACATAACTGAAGCAATAATACAAATAGTGTCTGAGTGTGTGTATAGTGTATAGTGGTTTATGTTTACATAGCCCTTCTATCAAAAATAATAATAAAGATCAACAAAGCTAGAGTGAAGACTGAGTATCTTTCTATTATATGTATAGAATGATATTACAAAATCATTATTATATGAAAGGATATCAAAGAGTATGCTACCAGAACTATAAATGTATTATAGGTGTCAGTTAATGAAAAAGTACATTGGTTTTTCTAGCTTTTGTGGTATTTGTGGTATTAGACGACCCTTTTAAAATGAGTAATTTGTGTAATTTATTTTTCCATTCCATATGAATACATGTGTATCTAGCATTTTAGGCTTAATCTTGGATTATTTTTCTTTAAAAAGAGTCCCACACATTGTAAAAAGTTCAGATCCAAAAATCTGGATCTGTCCTTGATTGCCAACTACATGTCAAATACATACTCATTCATAAAGATACAATCGTGAATAAGACCAAATGCTTTGCCTCGATGAGCAAGTCTGATAAGGGAGACAGATGCACAACAGCAGAAATTTTTCTTTGGCATATGTAAGATAGATTCCCAACTCAATCTAGAAGGTTCAGGGAAAGCACTCTAAAAGAGATAACTAAGTAAGCTCTCTTCCTCTCTACCTCCTGTGACCTCTGACTTCCATAAAAAGATTGCAATCCAATAGCTTACTTGACACATGAGAAAACCTGAAGTTCCCAGAAGTTAAGTGATTTTCCCAAAATTGAACATCTTGTTAGTAACAGTGCAACTAGACCCCAAGTCTCAGGACTTCCAGCGTCATATGCTTATTATGTCATGTTATAACTGAATTACAATTTCCAGAGCATAAGCATTACACTCAAAACTTTGAGAATAGACTCTCAGTGCTGATCTCCAAAGCATTTAAACAAGGATGTAAGGGTAGTTTAGAAATGCTAAGCTTTTTGGTTTGAAACATCCACTAGAGGGATAAACTTCTGTACATATCTTAAACAAACAAACAAAAACCCACTGTGGAGTCAATTCTGACTCACAGT